GCAATGAACGTACCCGTTGACGCCCGCCCTTTTGTGTATGTATTTGTATGTATGTAGGTGTGTAGACGTGGAAGTGACGCACCTGAAGGTGTCGGGTCACCAATTCGTGAAGATGTGTGATTATGGCTTAAAATGTATATTATATAAATACAGACTCACACGCACACACATATTTCTTTAGTACTCCAGGCTTTCTTCTGTTTAATCAAAATGATTTTATTTAAAAAAAAAAAAAACTAAAAATGTCTCTTTTGGAACAAAACACAAAGACACTCCAGTAGCATTAGACAAACAGCAAGGCACGTCTGATTAGTGAGGCCAGGACTGATATCAACGGAATCTCTATAAATTTATAAAAATCAATAAATATATATGTATATACTATATACTATATACTATATAATGTGTGGTTGCAGCCCTTTGCTCCCCAGGGGCCACAAACGAATGATGATGATGATATACTACATATATATATATATATATATATATATATATATATATATATATATATATATATATATATATATATATATATATATATATATATATATAGTTATATATATATAGGTATATTCGATTATCCACTTCATTGTCTTCATGATTGTTCAATTAGTTCAGGCATGTTGCAAAGTTAAAAACAAGTTAATTAAAAAGTCTAGTGACATTTAAGCGCAATTTCCTTATGTTATCTAAAAATAGCTCTGTCGTAGCGTAAATCAAGAGCAGGGTTAGTAAAACCATTGGTTAGTTATTAAAACGTTTTTTATTAATTTTTTTTTCAGTATTTTACATGTTTTATTTACAATAGAGTTACATGACTAAAAACCATTGCGCGCCTACTGAATGTGATGACGCAGCCATTGAACGTGATGGCGCAGCTATTGAACGTGATGACGCGTGTGGTGTGGTTGGATAAATATGCTTACTAATTCGGTCCAAATTGTAATTAATTCAAAACATTTTTTGTGACCGAACGAAAGGATATTTTTGAAAACTTTCTTCGGCAATATTGTTCTAAATTATGGCAGGAATCGATTGGTACATGTTTCAAGTCGCTAAGTGGTCTGGTTGCCGAGATATGGGCCAAAAACTGCTTTTTTTCGAGGTTTTTTGGCTTTTCCGGGAAATCCATGAAAGAAACCCGTAATTTTTATAGCCTATGTTCATCCTCGTAACTTGCTTAACATAATTGCTTTTGGAACTAGTCATCGATATTGCTTCGTTGAGGAGGAGATACGACTTAAAGCTGCGGACACACATCCATCCATCCATCCATCCATCCATTCATTCATACATCCAGAAATGACATGTTAATAAACGCAATTCTCCAGAATGGAAATTGCGCTAAAAAAACTTCGAGTTAATTTATATTAAATCATTATAGTATTAGTTACTTCCCAGTGACACTTTCAAATAAACAAGGGATACAACCTACAATTTAGTTCCCAGAAGTAAAAATACAAAGCTTCTCAGTAGTAAAGAATAAAAACAATTAAAAAATGGTAAATTGTCTTATTTTTTTAAATATATGTTATATAAATAATTGATAGTTTTATAAAAACAATAAGTAATTTGTGTATTTCTGATGTTTAATTAGTATAAAAAAGCTATTAAAAGTATTAAATTATTTTTATTTAATATTTTAGAAATTTCCTCAACCATTGTTCACGTATAATTTCGATTTGCTCAGTGAATGTGACTGACTGTGTCATTTTTCTATAGAACCTACATATTTTAAGACATCTAGAGTAGGGGTCGGCAAACTTTTGAAGCGGAAGAGCCAAAAGTTACAATTTTCAAAATTTCCCTGGTTTTAAAGAGCCACTAACATTTTTTTTATTTCAAATTTTTTATTTTTTATTAAGATTATTAGTATTTATTTAAGGATCTGGAGAGCCGCATCTTGATGTCAAAAGAGCCGCATGCGGCTCGCGAGCCGCAGGTTGCCGACCCCTGATCTAGAGGGCCCCACTGCATTCCTCTCAATTTCGCCATTATTTGTGCTAATCGCACACAGCGACCCCCGCCCCTCCCCAATTATGTATGTAGGTATAAGTCGAGGCTAACTGGGTGGTGTGTGTCAGATATTTATGACTGAAAATCATGGGGTCACCTTATTATTGTCACCGTGAAGTTTGTCAAGGCACATAAACGACTTTGACGAGTCAAATCATTATTGTTGACATGCGTACAAATCGTGTTTTTGGATTTAGAATTGGCCTTTAGATCCGCCGTAAAAAAAAGTAAGAGCTTCAAAATTTCAGAAATTTATTATTTTAAGAATCAATTAGCAAAAGTTGGAAAGCAGAGAACTTGAAAGTAATTGTGTTCAAGGCTACATCTCTATGTATTTTCATTGAGCCCTAAATTATAACCTGAAGTTTCTCTTTCGTAAGACCAACAGTGATTGGCTGTACAGAAAATATGTGGTCGATTTTCTGGAAACCCCACTTTTTAGCAATTTGTAATCAAAACGTATCTGATTAATTTTTTAAAATACAATTATAAATTTTATCAAAGTGACCTACTTATGTCCTGTATATTTACATTATCAGTGATAATGCGTTTGCAGCTTGTTTTCTAGCGGCTCCCAGAAGAGAATTATATATATAGATAGATCAAAGTTGTCCTTTTTTCCAAAGTGAAACATTGGGGCAAAATTTTGAGTTGATGTAAATGAATAGAAATATATTATTAGTAGCAAAACTATATTTTCAAGCTCTATGTGTGGGCAATTCTATCACAATTCTTTATACAATATAAAATTTCTGATTTTATTTCAGCCTTTTATTTGTTGATGTTCATTTTATTTATGTTTTACTGTCACTCTAAAAGTCAAAATTAACTCACTCAAAACACATCGACAAAAATGATCAAGAGCATTATATCAAACTCGGTGAGTTACTTTCAAAAGTATATTTGGTGTTACTCAAGTTCGTGGGGTGGGGGTGGGGGGGGGGGGGTAAATATCTTATCTGATATCCAAGGAAGTAGGCGAGATATTAGGAGGTTTGTTTCTTACAGCAATTCTCACTTTGGTAGTGTTGTTTCTTACCTAATTAGTTTCTTTCTTTGATAGGCGTGTTTCTAAAATCAATTATTTATTTCTTTGTTGTTCTCATATCAATACTTTTTATCTCTGAAAAGTTTTTTTTTGTTTCTTACATACTTTTTTTCACTTCATTGAAGCGAAATGTTTTGGGGTAATTTGCGACCGGTGTGCTGAGTGCCTAATGGGTACCGTGGTAGATTGATGTGCGAAATGTTTGAGGTAATCTGCGAGCCGTGTGGTGTGCGTGTGGGTGTTAAAGCGTGGTTAATGGGTATCGTTGTAGATTGATCTGATGGCCGATAGGACCGACGGCCGACTGATGATTGCTTACCTGGCCTGGATTGAGACGTAAAACACCTGGCCAGGTACGAGCCCTAATGTGAACGTCACCAGGAAAGGTGTCGAGCTAACAATAGCCAGGTCCTCGAGATCACGTGACCTGCCAGGATAGGGTGAACAGATCTACCAGTTGTGGCCGTACAGGGTGGGTAGGGGTGTGAGGGGGATAGGGGGAGTAGGGTACTTTATTAAAGCCTGAAACACTAAACGGTTAAAGGAAATATGAGACGTTGGTTTTTGTATCACACACACACACACACACACACACACCTCCCCGTCCCCTACTACAACCGAATGTTTACTACATGCTATTAAGTCGAGTTTGGCTCTCCGAATGAATAAATGCAATTTATTAATTAGTAAAAGAAAACTGAACAAGAAATGTTACATAAGCACACATAGAAAGTGTATACATATGCACCTCTATTTATTTCACGATGAAGTGTATTTTTAAATTACTTTTACAGAACGTAAACACTTTTTAGATATTTGAATAAAGCTTAAAACACTATTATCAGTTTAATTTCACTACAACTTCTAAATTTGTTTCCTAATAAATCACAATGGAATACAGTCTATAGTTTGAATTATCGATTCAGGCCGGATACTCTGAATCAACCCAGATCTGGTCAGTATCTGAATCGAATCAGGTAAAGGTAGATGTACATAGTGAAACAGACAAACTCCACTTCATGAACCCAATGGGCCGACAAAACCGTAATTTACTTTTTTACTTTCTCGTATATACGAAGTATAGAGAAAGTCTTGTAATCGTGCAAAAAAAAAAAATCGAGACTCACTGATACGGAAAAAACATAATTTTGCAATCTTGTCCGTATGTCTGTGTGTCTGTCTGTTTGTGTGTCTATCTGTCTGTGTGTAAACACAATAACTTGAGTACCGTTACAGCTAGGTTGATAAAATTTCATATATAAGTATTTTATCAAAATCGTAGATCCTGATCAACGTTTGAGCGATTTCCAATAACCGGAAGTGGTACTTTTTCTACTTTGAATTTCTCAAAAGCCTGTAACTTGAGTACTATTTCAGATAGATAAATGAAATTTCACGTGTAAGTAGAAGATCTAATTCTCTACCTTCTGTCATATTTTGAGTAATTTCCGTTGACCGGAAGTACTAATTTACGTTATTTCCGATTTCTCAAAAAACACATGTAAATTTATAAAGTACTAATAATATTGCGCACTATTATGCACATTTTGTTTTGGCGTTCGCTTGGTGCACAATTCTTTTTTTCTATGAGATTCTATTCTATTTTGAAAAATTTAAGTAATTAAAAATCATGTCTATATTCCAAGTTATATAAGAATATTCGAGAAAGTTTAGGGGAGATCACTCCCTGTTTATTTTTTGTTTATAATGATTTTTACAGAAAATAAAATGTTAGTTTATGACCTAATTTGAAGATTCGTACAGTGCATTCCTCTGATTTATACTGCTAAGGAAAATATTCACGGATGAAAGTACTGAAGACAAAAAGTACTGCGAAATGATAGTACTGTATCTGGCACTGTGATGTCATCATTTATGCCCTTAAGTATCTTTTAAATAAATATTATGCACTAACATCTTTATCGGGCATGGCACAATGTCTTTTGGCAGAAGTGGCACAATGTCTTTTGGCAGTAGTGGCACAATGTCTTCAGATAGTAGTAGCACAATGTCTTCAGATAGTAGTGGCACAATGTCTTCTGATAGTAGTGGCACAATGTCTTTTGGTAGTAGTGGCACAATGTCTTCCGATAGTAGTGGCACAATGTCTTTTGGTAGTAGTGGCACAATGTCTTTTGGTAGTAGTGGCAAAATGTCTTTTGGTAGTAGTGGCACAATGTCTTCTGAAAGTAGTGGCACAATGTCTTCTGATAGTAGTGGCACAATGTCTTTTGACAATAGTGGCACAATGTCTTTTGACAATAGTGGCACAATGTCTTTTGACAATAGTGGCACAATGTCTTTTGACAATAGTGGCACTATGTCTTCTGATAGTAGTGGATATACTTTTCCTCGAGTGGTCACTAATAAACTTTACGGTAATGACACGTGCTCATAAACAACACAATGGTGACTCTTGGTAATTAGGCTTCATTATCTAAGGTACCTAATATTTTCCAACCCCCACCCTTTTACACACACACACACAGACAGACTGACACACAGACAAACCCACTCACAAAAAAGGGGTCTAAGGCCTCACGCGTCTGGTACCCTTGCTTTATGAGGGGAGCTAACTCCCCCAGACAGGTGACGCGGGAACTATTCTGGGCAATAAAACCTATTAGAGAGATGCTTCTGGCCGTCAGACAGCCGGGAATCACGTGGTTGGCCCGGCCACTGGCTGAACCCATGGCCAGCGGACGGGTAGGAACAATTACCGGCCATTGTACGGCCCGACTGGGCAATAAACCCACCGCACGGTCCGGCTCCGGTTATTTGGGCGGGCCCGGCAAGAGAAGAGAAAGCCGGCATTCCCGTTTAATCTTTTGAGTGGATAATTCGTGGACATTATGGGTGGGGGGGGGGGGGGACATTAGAACTTCCGGCGGTTGGTTGGGATGTACAAGATGTGTACAGGGAAGTGGGGTGACACTATTTTTGGCATTCCAATTGGGAAATTTCAATTATTCCAAGCAACGGATGTAGGCCTACAGTATATAATACTTGCCATGGGTACCCGTTACACAACAATTCTGGTGACTTTTAGCTCTATTCTTTTTACAAATAGGCTACCCGGTTTTTTTTAAAGGATATTTATCTCCGGAGAGCGGCATTTAAAACTGCCCAGAGTAGGGTTTGGTGGGATGTGTGTTCGGAGGTGAGAGGGGAAGAAACGGTAGAGATGCATGAAGAAAATGTATATATCTACAGAAAGTGAGTAATGAAATGAATTGTAATTAGTAGTATATTAGGTCCCTTTTGGAGCGAAGGCGCAGGCGCAGGCGCTGGGTGAGCAGGAGCAGGAGCAGGAGCAGGAGCAAAGGATATATAGGAAAATACTCGGATGCGGATGGACAACGAGATATAGTAAAATACTCACCCACCTGGGTGGAGTGGGTGATGCGGATGGACAACGGGATATAGTAAAATACTCCCTGGGGGAGCAGGAGGTACACCGACATATAGTAAAATACTCACCCACCTGGGTGAAGGTGGGTGAGGGTGGGGGAGCAGGATGGACAATGACATATAGTAAAATACTCACCCACCTGGGTGAGCAGGTGGGTGAGGGTGGGTGAGCAGGATGGACAATGAGATATAGTAAAATACTCACCCACCCTAGGGTGGGTGAGCAGGAGGGGGAGTAGGTCAGTAGGTCACCACCGGTGACCTTGTGACGTAATCAGTAACCTTGTGACGTAATCAGGGACAATATGACGTAATCATTGACCTAGTTACGTAATTTTAATGCGTTTTTTAATTAGTTTGAATTTAATTTTTAAATTTTAATTAGTTTTTAATTAGTTACGTAATTTAATTACTTTGATTGTATTTTTATTTTGTTTAATTTGTTTGTTTACTTGTTGTTTAATTTAATTACTTTGTTTATATTGTGTAATTTTTATTAACGAGTTACGTAATTTGATTATTTGTTTACTTTTTAAATTATTTTTATTTTGTTTATTTTTAATTTAATTTTATAATTAGTTTGAATTCAATTTAATTACTTTGTTTATATTGTGTAATTTTTTATTGACTAGTTACGTAATTGGATTTTAATTTTTTAAATTTTTAAATATAAATTTTAAATTTTAATTGATTTTAATTACTTTGTATTTTGTTTGTTTATTTTGTTTGTTTACTTGTTATTTAATTTGATTACTTTGTTTATATTGTGTAATTTTTATTAACGAGTTACGTAATTTGATTATTTGTTTACTTTTTAATTATTTTTATTTTGTTTATTTTTAATTTTATTTTATTTTATAATTAGTTAAATTATTATTAACTAGTTACGTAATTTGATTTTAATTACTTTGTTTAATTTATTTATTTGATATATTTCTTTTCTTTGTTGTTTAATTTGTTGGTTTGTTTATTTGGTTGTATGTATGTTTTAAATTCTCCCCTACAACGACCGTGTACAAAAAACAGGTTAAATTCTCCACCACAACGAACGTTACAAACATAGAACATTCATTTAATCACATCTGTTACGTATCGACCCGCCCGCGAAGTTTTCTCACCGCTGCCCGTTTTAATGGGAATGTATTGATCGCAGCCGCTGGCCCATCACACCTAATTAAATTTTGTTACGCATCGTCGATTTTATGTGTTGTTCACGGACGCGAACACCGTACGGTCCGGTGTTTAATGAGGTCCATTAAGCGCGTCTCCGCGTTAAGTGTGGGAACACCTGTTACCACGTTAATTGATTTTTTCCCCGCTCGGTTACTATAGTGAGAAGCCATCACGTAACAGCTGGTGCTGTAATTACGCCGACTAAGGACATTGGTTGTAACTATTCGCTTATAGCGAGGGTGACCGAAAACAAAATATATATATTTAAGGGTTGGAATTTTCTTTCAACCACCGATAAATCAGGTTTTGAGACGAAACGAAGTCTCCGTAGGTTCGTGTTTTTTAACGGGCGACAGGGCGACTTAGTGCGTTGGTACGTGAGGTATGCGGGGTAGACATGTTTTTTACAAGTCTGGAAAAGTAATTAAGTTTTTTATGACCGTTTCGATTTTCTTTTGATCTGACCACCACACACATACGCGCGCGCGCGCGAAATTCATACTAGGTCGATAAAGGCGGAGAGAACTTATAGGTATTCATTATCATGGTGACAACAAAAGCGATCCTTATTTTATTTACATGAAAGCGTGTTTTCCAAAAAAGTGTCGCCATACCGTTGTCATTTTCGCAGCGGGGTTTATTTTAAGTGCACCTCGTGCACGTTTGTTTACATTTTAAAAGACGTGTCCCGTGTCTTCCCCACATGTCTTCCCTAATAGAGAAACGAGAGGAAAGACAACTGTTCTAAAATTAGAACAGCCTTGTTTACAGCCACGAGTAGCGTCCCTTGTGAAAAAACTCGCGTCAGAATCCTTAACTAAACATTCAATTTCTTTAACAAGTTAAAAAATAATTTAGGAAGACAAGGGTTAACAACATTAGACGCCACCGTTTTTGTTTCCTGTGACGACAAGGCACAATACACTTTTGTATTTTATGTCTCAAGTAGAGGGGTGGGATATTTTTTCTTTGTAAGAGTCTTGTAAACAATAGGTAGAGGAAGCGATTACCAAACAACAAACGCGTAAAGACTAACAACGACAGTAACGTTAATTCACACACCACTATTTTTCCTGTAGACGACCTACCCATGATACGTTATACATGTGACATATGTGAGCATGCATTCACCTGCAAACATTGTTTGAAACGACATCACGATACGGCACACAGACGACGAAGACATACATGTAGAGAATGTTTGCAAGAATTTACAAGAAAATATAATTTAACGAACCACTATAAAATACCACACACCATCAAAACATTACCAGACGACACATCAGCGACCGACACGAATATCCCATAGGATGACTTCTCACAGACATCTCCTTACACCCAACACAGAAACTCACTTTCTTACTTTTATATTAAAAGACAAGTAGACACAATGTGACATCTCCCCTAGACTGTAGACCGATGGGGTTGTTTTTATTCAATAAAAATTTATTATATATGGTCTTTTGTGATTTTTTAATGTGTTATTGTTTTTGTTACTTGTCCCTGAAAGTTATGTAACTCGGTATCCTGTATAAGAGGTATGACTGGAATCAAAATCACGGGAGAGAACGTGACGTACATCGCGATATTTGAAAACAGGGCGATGTTTAACCTCAACCAAAAAAGACAATGAACCTAGAAGGAAGACGAATATATATCTTAGTCTTGCAGCAGATTACCTTCCCATGTTCGCTTTAGTATTACAGTTTTCATCAAACTTCTTTTTGACTTGAACTTCGTTAATTTTTAAGAAAGTTTACTTATACATAATACATTACGTCTAATGACAATTTTTTTATTTTTACCACTCAATGTATTTTCTTTTTCTATATCTTACATTGTCATCTTAATTTTTGATCACCTTAGGTGGTGGTAAGGTGGTAAGGTGGTGGTAAGGTGGTGGTAAGGTGGTGGTAAATTTGCTTAAGATTATAAACTTCAAGTTTTAAAAAACAACAACGTTATAGTACGTCGTGTCAAATGACACACCGTTTAAAATGTCTACATTTAAAGTTCACCAAAATAATGACGTAAAATCTAAATATGATATGACGTTAGCATACATATCATTCAACCTAATCACTCTAAAGTACAAATCAATAATTTTTATTGATTAAGGGGCTGGGTGAGTTATTTTTATCACTATTCGCCCTTCCCCTTCCCTTTGTCCGCAACCCCGTTCCCCTTCTCCCATCCAACCTTGCGTCATCACACTAACCTCAATACCAACCGTTAGATAAACAGACCGTACTACTACTACTACCTGCACTATACCTATTCCATTTAAGAGACAAAGGCTGTATGACAATCCTACAGACAAATATTTATCCAACTAATATTACAACCCCCTAGAAACCACTCCAACAGACTGGGATACATAACTTGTAGACACCACTCCTCGTTGAATATCTCTTGCACCCTACCTACATCGACAACTTTGTCCGCCGCCCTCGCCCCCGTCCCTAGTATGAACTCGGTTACCAACAATTTCAAAACATGCATGTTCCGAGTTCAAAACCAACCTTCACCGACACTACTATGAACTCGGCCCCTAACACTTCCAAAACATGCCTGTACTAACTTTGAAACCATCATCGGTGAAAACTTCACCGACCTTAGTATGGACTCTACACCTACCGATTCCAAAACATGCATGTTCCGAGTTCAAAACCAACCTTCACCGACACTAGTATGAACTCGGCTACCAACAATTCCCAAACATGCATGTAACAACTTTCCAACCTGCCTCAGTGCTAACAAAATTCCCCGACCCTAGTATGAACTCGACTGCCATCAATTCCTAAACATCCATGT